TGTATCCAGAGTATTAAGAATATATTCAATTTCTTTAAAAGCTTTGAGAAAGCTCTCAAAGAAACCTTTGATAACTCTAATAAAGAATATATTACAGCTTAGCAGCTTATAAATCTCAGATAAACTAAGTCAGCTTCTGCTTATATAATTAGATTTAAGCAGCTCTTAGCAAGACTTCCGTAAGAAGATAAGAATCTTATGGAATATTATTACAAGAAATTTAAGAACAATATTAAAAATAAAATCTCTAAATAGGATTAGCTAAAGAACTTTGCAATATTTTCTAATCAAGCTATTTGCATTAATAACTATTTGTATGAATAATGAATGAAGAAGTTTAAGAAGAAAGGAAGCTAAACTTGGAGATTTCTAACTAATATGAGCAAGAAACTCCAAAATAAGAATAGCGGATAATATAGCAGTATAGCTTAAAGCAGTACTACATATGCTAGTCTTATGAAACTCAATGCAGCTAATAAGCAGTATAGTAAGAAGAATAGTATTATTTGCTACAACTGCAATAAACAAGAATACATTGCATACAACTACTATTAACTCTGAAAGAACAAATAGCAACCAGTTCAGAAAGAATATCAGATAAATATTGCTTAATAATAGAAACCCAATCAACTAAGCAAAAATACTCTCTTGAAGCAAGTATTGAACTTTGCTAATTATAGAAGTCTTAGCTGAATATTCTGCTATAATAATAACTGCTTAACTTATCTCTCAAATAAGGAAGATTCAGAATAATTCCCTTAGAAATCTAGGCGCTATAAATAAATAGTAATAGCAGAACGAGAATGCATGCTCAGCATTTCTATGAGTAGCAACTCAGGCTGCTCTGATATTGTGAAATAGAGCATTCAGGTATTGAAAGAAGAGCTTAGCAACAATACTCTTTAATATTCTTCATTGCTTATACCAAGCATTATGATCAGGGATATAAATAAGGAATGATATTCTCTTAGCTACTAATACAAACATCTAAGCAATATAGAGAATGCTTTTTAAGCAATAGAAAGATTAAGCTAGAACGAATAATCTAATAATTCATCAGAGTCTCTCGTAAACAATAAACTCAAGAAGCTTACAGAAAGATTTCCCTTCAGCATTGGATGAAATAAGAAAATAACATGAATTGAATATCTCATTTATGGAATAAAGCTAGAAGAGCTCTTTATCTGCATTTCCTTGCAAAATATCAAAGCATAAGAAGATAAGAATTCTTAGATCAGCTTACTTTACAACTTATATTACAAATTAGCATAAATCTTCTGCACTTATTATAGCTGCAGAATACATTTCTCGGAGAAGATATAATACGAATAATTTCTTATCAGAGAATTAGAATAAATCCTTTAAGCTATTAAAGAATAGAAACTCTGCTTCAGAAAAGTTTTCAACAAACAATACTATAATACATACATCAAACTATTAGATAACTGCTCTATGCAATGCATAAATAAGAAAATAAAATAATAGCAGTGCAAAATAATATTCTGTATAATTTATATTAATAATAAGATTTGCAACTAGCATTAACAGAAGAAAAACTAGAAATAATAATAATATAAGCAAAAGCAAGCTAAGAAGCTTGCTCGAGAAGCAATAAAGTAGATTCAGAAGAACAAACAGTTTTTAATAAATTCAAAAGAATAGGATTGCTTGTAAAGAAACTGCAGATGATTAAACTGAAACAGTTTCTATATAGAGCTTTTAAAACAAACTATGCTTATATTAAGTTCGATATATATATTCAAGAATATAAGTATAGCATACTATTGAATAGTAGTGCTCAAGGAAATTTCATATTCTTATATATTATTAATCAGGTATAATTACAATGGAAATGGAAGAGATGTTTATACATTCTTAGTACTGTAGAAGAATAATCTGTTGTATATAATCAAGGAGTAATTAATAAGAAAACTAATTATTTATCTATCTTAATTCAGAAATATGCAATCAAGATTTCTTTTAATATTATAAATACAGTATAATATAAGCTAATTATAAGGCTTCTATAGCTTAAGAAATACAATTCCTGAATCGATTGAACTACTAGCTAGATTTTATAAGAATAAGCTATACTTAGAGAGATAGTTATAATCAATAGCGCAGAATTGAAGCTAGTGATTGAAGAATATTCAGAAAAAGAAGCTTCATACAACTTTATATATACTTCCAAGTTAGCAGAGCTAGCAGTTTAAGAAGAAGAATTTAGTAATAAGCGAATTCAAATAGTGCTAGAGTGCTAACAGGTTAGCAAAATAATGAAAGTGAGACTCTCAGCAAGTCAGTTCGTTCCGGAGCAATAAGGAAAAGCTTCAGAATATGAATTGTAGAACTATACAGGAAAAACCTCGAAACCAAGCTCTCGAGCGCTCAGTTCAGCTTGGAGTGAACGCTTAAAGCTCTCAAAAACGTTACCAAAAACAACGAATAAAAAGAAGTATGCTTAATAGTATCTACTATTTCTTCAGATAGCAGAAACAGTATAAGAATTAGAACTAATACTTGCAAATATATTACGAGAATATTACAAGTTTAAGAAACTGTTTTAGGAAGAATTAGATATAGGATTGCTGAAATATAGCTTATATAATCATAAGATCTTGCTATAAGAAGAGAAATAGCTCAAATTCTTTCCTATTTATGAACTAAACAAGATATGATTAGAAGCATTTAGAGAGTATCTTGACGAGAATCTTAAAAAAGAATATATATAATCATTGTAATTACTAGCAGAATACCCTATCCTATTTATATCTAAGAAAAACAGCAAGCTTAAGCTATGTATTGATTACAAGCAACTCAACAATATTACAATTAAGAACTAATATCTGTTGCCACTTATCAAGGAACTACGAGATAAGTTGCAAGGAGTATAGTAGTTCATAGTTCTGAATCTGAAAGGAGCTTATAATCTGATTAGAATAAAGAAAGGAGAAGAATGGAAAACTGCTTTCAGAATATGCTATGAATACTACAAATATTTGGTTATGCTTTTTAGTCTAACGAATATCCTAGCTTCGTGTCAGGTGGAAAGGTTGCAAAGGCAATGTGGCGAGGTCTTTCTCTCTTTCAGGAGCATACAACCAGAATAACATTGAGGCCTAAGGAGCTAAGTTCTGCTCAGCAGTGCTAACGTGGCTAGAAAGCCGCTTTATAGCCGCATATTGCTTAGTCATCCGTAATTCAGCTGGCTTAGCTAGCCCTGAGCCTTGCTGGCACAATCAGCCCTAACAGATTGTCCCCCCTTATCAGGCCTTGTTCTCAAAGCCTTTGAGGCTTCCGAGCTTTCGTTGCTTTCAGGCTTCCGTTGCTCCCAGGCTTCCGTTGCTCCCAGGCTTCCGTTGCTTCCAGGCTTTCGCTGCTTCCTAGCTGCTCCTACGCTTTCTCAATGCTTCAGGCTCTTAAGATCTCTCAGTGCTTCAGGCTTCTCAAAGCTTCTCAAGATCTCTCAGTGCCTCAGGTTTCTCAAAGCCTCTCAAGATCTCTCAGTGCTTCAGGCTTCTCAAGGCCTTTCAAGATCTCTCAGTGCCTCAGGCTTCTAAGCCACTCAAGGTCTCTCAAGGTCTCTCAGTGCCTCAGGCCTCTCAAGATCTCTCAGTGCTTCAGGTTTCTCAAAGCCTCTCAAGATCTCTCAGTGCTTCAGGCCTCTCAAGGCCTCTCAAGGTCTCTCAGTGCCTCAGGCCTCTCAAGGCCTCTCAAGGTCTCTCAGTGCCTCAGGCTTCTAAGCCACTCAAGGTCTCTCAAGATCTCTCAATGCCTCAGGCCTCTCAAGGCCTCTCAAGATCTCTCAGTGCCTCAGGCTTCTCAAGGCTTCTCAAGGCTTCTCAACCATCTCCCTCCTTCTCTTCTGGCTTCATCCCCGAAGCCTGTGAAAAAAAAATCTCTTTTTAATCACATTTCAGATGTAAGTTTTCCAAGTGCAATACCCGCGCTATATACGCTGCTCAGTTGCTGCTCCCTTAGCGCTTTATCCAAGCATTCTTCAGAACTTAAAGCTATTTGATATAGATTGCAAGCTTTCCACTAGAAACTTAGTTTGCAGCTAAGAAGCTCAGCATTCAAAACAGCATTCCTGCAGCTATAATAGATAATTACAGCTTTCCATCTTAAGAGTTGCTTTCTAGCAACTCTAAAGCTATTATTACATTTTACTTCACTACTAAGTATAGAAAGATAATTAGTTTGCAATCTAATACTCAAGCAATTTTAGTTGCTAAGCAGATACTCTGCTTCAGCTCTATATTCTCGCTCAAATAGCAAAGAGTATACTCTTGAAAACAGAAGATACTTAGATCTACTACTTGCTTACTCTGCTTTCTTACTCGAATAATAAAGAACATATTCTCGAAAACAGAAGATACTCAGATCTACTGCTTGCTTACTCTGCTCTCTTGCTTGAATAGCGAAGAATATACTCTCGAAAACAGAAGATATTCAGATTTACTGCTTGCTTACTCTGCTTTCTTGCTTGAATAGCAAAGAATATACTCTCGAAAACAGAAAATACTCAGATTTATTGCTTGCTTATTCTGCTCTTTCGCTTGAATAGCAAAGAATATATTTTGTTCTAGCTTAGCAACTTGAATGCTCTGAATCTCTTCTGAATATTTCTTGCATGCTGCTTGCATATTGCTTGCTTGCTATTTGCTCTAGCTTAGCAACTCGAATACTCTGAATCTCTTCTGAATACTTCTTATATGCTACTTGTATACTGCTTGCTTGCTGTTTGCTCTAGCTTAGCAACTCAAATGCTCTGAATCTCTTCTGAATGCTTCTTGCATGCTGCTTGCATACTGCTTGCTTGCTATTTGCTCTAGCTTAGCAACTCGAATGCTCTGAATCTCTTCTAAACGCTTCTTGCACACTGCTTGCATACTGCTTGCTTGCTGTTTGCTTTAGCTTAGCAACTCGAATGCTCTGAATCTCTTCTGAATGCTTCTTGCATGCTGCTTGTATACTGCTTGCTCGCTGTTTGCTCTAGCTTAGCAACTCGAATGCTCTGAATCTCTTCTGAACGCTTCTTGCATGCTGCTTGCATACTGCTTGCTTGCTGTTTGCTCTAGCTTAGCAACTCGAATGCTCTGAATCTCTTCTGAATGCTTCTCGCATGCTGCTTGCATACTGCTTGCTCAATACTGCTTGCTTGCTATATACTCTAGCTTAGCAACTCGAATGCTTTGAATCTCTTCTGAACGCTTCTCGCACGCTGCTTGCATACTGCTTGCTCAGCACTGCTTGCTTGCTGTATTCAAAGCTCGAAAGCTCGAAAATCGAAAGCTTGAAGGTTAAAGGCTCGAAGGTCAAAGGCTCGAAGGTTAAAGGCTCGAAGGTTAAAAGCTCGAAAGTCAAAGGCTCGAAGGTTTGAAAAGGATAGTAGTCTGATCGTTTGCTCTGCTCCTGCTCAGTATTAGCGCTGCTCCTAGGGAAAAAAAAAAGATAGAAAGCCTCGCTGGATTGCCTCCTTTAAAAGGGCCAAGCTTCAAACTGTCAGGTGGAAAGGTTGCAAAGGCAATGTAGCGAGGTCTTTCTCTCTTTCAGAGGCATACAATCAGAATAACATTGAGGCCTAAGGAGCTAAGTTCTGCTCAGCAGTGCTAACGTGGCTAGAAAGCCGCTTTATAGCCGCATATTGCTTAGTCATCCGTAATCCAGCTGGCTTAGCTAGCCCTGAGCCTTGCTGGCACAATCAGCCCTGACACTTCGTTCCAGGAAATAATCAATCACATTCTATGCAAGCATCTGAATCAATTTATCATTGCTTATCTTAATAATATCCTTATCTACTCTCGAATACTTGAAGAGTATAAGAAATATATAGAAATAGTATTGCAAATACTTCAAGATGCGAAACTTCTTGTAGAATCTGCAAAGAATTACTTTCACGTACAAAAGATTAACTATCTCGGATTTACAATCAAACCAGGATGCATTAAGCTATAGAAAAATAAGATAGAAGCTATTAGGAATTAGCCAGTTCTTAGGAATGTTAGGAATATTAGATCTTTCCTCGAATATATCAACTTCTATAAACAGTTTATTAAGAATTATAGCTGAATCATGCATTCTCTTACGAATCTTACTAAAAGAGATTAACTCTTCAAATGAACCTTCAAAGCACAAGAAGCCTTTGATAAGATTATTAAGTATATTATCTTAGAGCTAGTTCTGTATAAAGCAGACTCTTATAAATCCTTTGAAGTTGAGACTAATGTATCGAGATATGCACTCGGAGAATAACTTAGCTAGCGAGATGATTAAGAGCATCTAAGAATTATAAGCAACTTCTCAAAGAAGTTAAATAGCTCAGAAATCAACTACAGAATCTCTAATCAGGAACTTATAGTAATAATAAAAGCTTTCAAGAAGTAGCAATACTATTTTATTAGCATATAATACTCGATTATAGTTCACTCGGATTACAAGAATCTGATTATATTTATAATAACTAAGATTTTGAATAAGCAATAAGTTAGATGAACAGAATTTCTCTTATAATTCGATTTCAAGATTGTATACTACAAAAGCTTGGAGAATAAATGAGCGGATGCTCTTAATAGAAGATTAGACTATCAAGATACAGATTTCTCGGATATATAAAATATCTTTGCTCAAGATAAATTAGAAAATCTTATTAATATATATAGAGAACTAAATGCTGCTCTTAGAATAGAATTCTTAGAAGAAAATTCAGAATTGATAATTTCAGATGAGCAAAATAACTATATCAAGAATGTATATAATGCATTAGCATATGAATATTAGGAAGTTAAAGTAATCTATAAATGCATCAAAAGATATTGAAACTTACCAAGCCTTAGAAAAAGAATTGAAAACATTCTATAACAATGCAATAGCTGCAAGAAGAATAAAGCAGAAAGATATAAGCTTTATAAACTACTATACTTCTTACTAGTACTTATAACTATTTAGTAATCCATTAATCTAAACTTTATTACTAAGCTATTCTTCTTATAAGAACTCTTAATTAAGATGTAATATAATAGCATTCTAGTAGTAATTTGCAAACTGAGCAAGTATGCTTACTTTCTTTCTTATAAGGAAAGCAGTATAGTAGAAGAACTTGCATATGCATTTCTTAGAATAATTATTGCTAATTATAGCATACTAGAAGAAGTAATCTCTAATAGAAATAGGAAGTTTAACTTGAAATTTTGAACTTTACTTATAAAACAGCTTGAAATATACTATAGAATATTTATAGTATTTCATCTGCAGATAGATAAATAGATAGAAAGAATAAATTAAATTATTAAATAGTATCTTCAATACTATATTAATCAGAAATAGAATAACTGAGTTAATCTATTGCTTCTTATACAGTTCGCTTATAATAGCGTAGATATAAGCATAATAAAGAAATCACTATTCTTCATACTCTATAAATATAATCCAACAGCTTACTACAAAGTATTGCTGGGAGTAGATGCAGAAGCTGCGGATAAAAGAGTTAAGAAGATTAAGAAAGTTCAGAAGGAATTCCGATCAGAATTACAATTCGTTCAAGAATGAATAATGCAGTATATAAACTCTAAAAGGATTGAGAAACTAATTCTACAGAAGGAAGATAAGATTTATCTACTTCGAAAAAATATCAAAATAACAAGATCTAGCAATAAACTCGATTATAAGAAGTTAGAACTATTCAAAATCTTATAACAGATTTCTCTAGTTAATTATAAATTAGTATTATCTTATAAGATAAGAATATACTCAGTTTTTCACATTTTACTGCTGGAATCAGCAGTATAGGAAATATTAATGAATAATATAGCAGAAGTGGAAAACAATAAATCAGAATATAAGATAGAAAAGATTCTCAAGCACAGAAGCATAAACAATATAAGGGAATATCTTATCAAATGAAAAGATTATTCAGCAAGTGAAAATTCATGAGAACTACGAGAGAATGTTGAAAACGCTCAGGAAAGGATAGCTGAATATTGGAAAAGGAAAGCTAGTATCTAAGATGATCGCTCCACTCCGAACTAAGATCCAAAAGCCTTAGAAACCTTGCTCTTCAGAAAATCCAATCAATCTATTACTGCACTTCTCAAATCCACGGAATCTCAGTTGAAATCTTCAAAGAAAGAATCTCCAGCTACAACAGCAGATTCCTCCGCTACTACAGCCTGCACTTCAGCAGCAATACACACCCTCTCAGCTTCAGCTTTCTCAGCTTTCATACAATCCAATTCCTTTATGCAAGTAATGCTATAATGCAGAGCACATTTCATCTTTTCGGATTATATCCGCTTCTATTAGCGCAAACAGAGAAGCTTAGTTTCTTTCTTCTTAATCTCATTCTCCAACTTTCAATATTGAATAATGATATTGCAAAGCTTCTTGGAAAAAGAGCTTATAATATTGTACTTGAAGCAGCTTAATTGAATACATTCGATGCAATAAGAAGAGTTTCTGGGAAACATCTTATAAAACTCGAAACTATAATTCTTACAATAGGAATAAATGAGCATTTCAATAAAATTTTCCAAGAAGCAGGAAATCAAGAGATCTTGATCTTGGATACTCTTTGGAATGAAAGAAGGTTTGCAAATACAGAATTTATTGATTCTGTTTAACATTTCAATCAGAAAAGCAAGATTATGCATATGAAGAATTTGCTAGAATATTTATAGAAGATTGTTGGAAATAATAACTAATAGAAGAAAGATGATATTATAATTTATTCAATATGCAGATTACAGGATAAGCTCTACTAATTAAGAAATCAGATATTATAATCCAATATTGAATACTAATCAGGATTATATAACTCGGATTAGAATTACTAGCGCAATTATATCGATTATGAATATAATTAATATATTTAGGAAATAATTATGAGAAATCGGAATATAGTTAGAATAGTTAGAACTGAAAAGCTGGATATATAAGAATACATTCATTACCATTAGATAGATTTAGTATATAGCTCTTCAGTTATCAATCTAAGTATTCAGTTTCATATACTGAGTAGCTCCAAAGGCAGTGAACACTTGCATTGCTTATTAGGATTTGTACAGTTCCGTATTCAAGAACTTGATACTTTAATACCGCTCTTGTTAGCATAAACCCCTTCGTATACTTAGGAATCTTCGGATTGCTGCAGTGCTCATTACAATCAGCCAGCGGGGGAATGCACTGTATCCAGTCTCTCGGGAATCTTCTTTCTCTTAATAGCCTAGCAATATCAGTGCAGCGCTATATATACAATATATATGAGTACTCATGGAGGCTGTGAGAGTGATGGGAGGCGGAGCTTCCGGAGCAGGAGTCTCGGGAGACTTAAGGGGGAGCGAGAGAGAGGGCGAGGGCGAGGGAGAGGCTCTCTTGCGCTTCTTGCTAGCGGGAGCCTTGCAGCCACCACGCTAACTGCTGCAGCAGCTACGAGAGGGAGAGGATGCAGAAGCAGCAGGAGCGCCTGAGGGCAGAGAGTAGCGAGGAGGGAGCACTGCATTAATAGCACTGAAGGAGGCATTGCTAGCTTCCGAAGCTTTAGGAGCAATCTGACTTTCAGAGATTTCAGAAGCTAGTGCAGCTTCTCTAGATGCATTAATAGCAATAAAAGAAGATATCTGTAATAAATTAGCTTTTATGTAATGCTTCAGAGAATAGGGATATATATATTATATTATTGCTGCTATTATTATTGTTATTACTGCTGCTGCTGTAGTAGCTGAGGAAAGAGAAAAATAGAAAGAGAGAGGGGTTTAGGTGCAAGAGCGAAATAGGGAGCAATAGTGCTTTATTAGTATGCATATCCCAGACAACTCTGTTATCTAGCTCTAGAAGCTATTCCGAGATCGCAGTAGCATGAATAATTGCACTAAGCTGCACAGTCTTCGTAATTATGCTGCATTTGCGCTGCGCTAGCGCTGGAGCAACCTTTACAACATCATATAACTTACTAGCAGAGGAAAACTTAGCTCTCTAGAGCAAGGCATCTTAATAACAAGAACTAATTGATAAGAGAATTATTAATAAGTATGAAGAAATCTGTGAGTTTGTACGAAAGCAGCTCGGATGCATAGTTTCTAGAAACAGAAATCTGAAAGAGGGAGGATTCTGTTAGAGCTTGTATATATACAAAGAAAATAAGTAGCTCTTGCAATTTCTGGTAGCAGTTCAGAGCTGCTGCAAGGGCTTCGCTCCGAAGCAGCGCTCTTGTACGATGCTGCGTAGCTATTAGGCTATTATTATCCTATCTAGTCCAGGCCAATTGTGTACATAAGGGAAAGGGGAACAATAGGTTCAGCAGCGAAAAGAGGAGGAGGGAGATAGGTTCAGTAGTCCCTTTGAATGGAAGCATTAACAGAGCGGCTTGGGAGCAGCTTACACCCCTTCACCTCACTTGTGTGCCCTTTTTACTCTGATAATATTTAAGAATACAAGTATAGTATATTATTGAATAGTAGCGCTTAGAGAAACTTTATATTCCTATATATCATTAATCAAGCATAATTACAATAGAAATGAAAGAAATGCTTATATACTCTCAGTACTATGAAAGAACAATCTGTTGTATACAATTAAGAAGTAATCAATAAGAAAACTAATCATTTACTTATTTTAATTCAAGAATATATAATTAAGATTTCCTTTAATATTACAGATATAGCATAGCATAAGCTGATTATAAGATTTTCATAGCTTAAGAAGCATAATTCTTGAATTGATTGAACTACTAGCCAGATCTTATAAGAATGAGCTATACTTAAGAAGATAATTATAATTAATAGCGTAGAATAAAAGCTAGTTATTGAAGAGCATTCAGGAAAAGAAGCTTTATATAACTTTATATATATTTCTAAATCAGCAGAACTAGCAATTCAAAGAGAAAAACCTAGTAATAAGTAAATCCAGATAGTGCTAGAGCGTTAACAGATTAGCAAAATAATAGAAGCAAAGCTTTCAGCAGATCAGTTTGCTTCAGAGTAATAAGAAAAAGCTTCAGAAAGTGAATTATAAATCTATATAAGAAAAATCTTGGAACTAGGCTCTTAAGCGCTCAGTTTAGCTTGAAGTAAACGCTTAAGATCCTCAAAAATATTACTAAAAATAACAAATAAAAAGAAGTATATTCAACAGTATTTACTATTCTTTCAGATAGCAGAAATAGCATATAGACTAGAATCAATACTTACAAATATACTATAAGAATACTATAAGTTCAAGAAACTATTTCAAAAGAAATTGAATACAGGATTATTAGAATACAGCTTATACAATTATAGAATCCTATTATAAGAAGGAAAATAGCTCAAGTTCTTTCTCATCTATAGATTAGATAAGGCATAATTAGAAGTACTTAAGGAGTATCTTGATGAGAACTTTAAAAAGAGATATATATAATTATTGCAATCATTAGCAGAATATCCTATTCTGTTTATATCCAAGAAAAATAGCAAGCTCAAGCTCTGTATTGATTATAAGTAGCTTAATAATATTATAATCAAGAATTAGTATTTGTTGCTACTTATTAAAAAATTATACAATAGATTGCAGAGAGTATAATAGTTTATAGCTTTAGATCTAAAAGAAGCTTATAATCTAATTAGAATAAAGAAAGAAGAAGAATGGAAAACTGCTTTCAGAATATGCTATGAATACTACGAGTATTTGATTATGCTCTTCAGCTTAATAAATATCTCAGCTTTATTTCAGGAAATAATTAATTATATCTTATACAAGCATTTGAATCAGTTTATTATTATATATCTTAATAATATTCTTATTTACTCTTGAATACTAAAGAAATATAAGAAGTATATGAAAACAATATTATAAATGCTTTAAGATGCAAAACTTCTTATAGAATCTGCAAAAAGTTACTTTTATATACAAAAGATTAACTATCTTAAATTTATAATTAAATCAGAATGCATTAAGCTATAGAAGAATAAGATAAAAGCTATTAGAAACTAGCTAATTCTTAGAAATATTAGAAATATTAGATCTTTTCTCAAATATATCAACTTTTATAAGCAGTTCATTAAGAACTATAGCTGAATTGCATATTCTCTTACAAATCTTACTAAAAAAGAGCAGCTTTTCAAATAGATCTTTAAAGAATAAGAAGCTTTCAATAAAATCATTAGATATATTATCTTAGAACTGATTCTGTATAAAGCAAATCTCTATAAACCTTTTGAGATTGAAACTAATGCATTAGAATATATATTTGGGAAACAACTTAGTTAGCAAGATAATCAAGAGCATTTAAGAATTATAAGCAACTTTTCAAAGAAGTTGAATAGTTCAAAAATCAATTACGAAATCTCTAATCAGAAGCTTATAGCAATAGTAAAAACCTTTAAAAAATAATAATACTATCTTATTAGCATATAATACCAGATTATAGTTTACTCGGATTATAAGAATCTAATTATATTTATAATAATTAAAGTTTTGAACAAATAATAGATTAAATAAGCAGAATTCTTATTACAATTTGATTTTAGAATTATATACTGCAAAAGCTTAGAAAATGAATAAGCAGATGCTCTTAGCAAGAGATCAGATTATTGAAATACAGACTTCTTAAATATATAGAATATCTTTGCTTAAAATAAATTAGGAAATCTTGTTAATATGCATAGAGAACTGAATACTGTTTTTAGAATTAGATTTTCAGAAAAAGATTCAGAATTAATAAC